AGGTGGTTGGAGTGAGCTGTGGCACTTGGCTAGCTGGGCAAAAGGTAACAACTGTCCATTATTTAAGAGAGTGCAGGGGGTGCTGTGCTTCATCCTGAACGAAACTTTGCAACTAGCCGTAGTAGTAGGCATCGCCCCTCTGAGCAGTCAGGCTGCTGAGGGGACAGAAGCGTCTTCCCAGTAGTCCCGATTCAAAGCTCCCAAGGGCAGTTCAGACACATCCCTGGCCAGGTGTAGATGCTTTAAGATGTCTCCCTAAGCAATTTAGGTCATTTGAACATTCCACTTGCTTTCTGCTCCCCATCACTTCCTGCACATGGAAAGACTGTTGCTGTCTATAACACTCCTAAATGCCCTCCTCCTTCATGAATCTTTGTTTCTAATGGCAATGAGATTTTGAACATGCCTTATCTCTCTATTCATACGTGGTAAAGAGGGAATCAGGGTTTGGAATGGAAGTTAGGGAACTGTCTGGATGGAGAAAAGCAAGGAAAGGCTTGGTAAAGGGCAGATGGGAGAGAAAGGTGAATTTAGGGACAAACAATAGTTGTACTGTGCTCAGGGTGTTTCTCATGGGAGTCTGAGTGAGACATTAAGTCATGGGCCTTACTGTATTTTTGTTATATTAATATTATATGAATATTTTGTTATATGAATTCCTTTAATCCTTTTGTTTACCTTTTCATCCTGGGTCTTTGGAGCAGGAAGTCTCTCCTACAAACATGGAATATATGCGTTTCAGGTGGTAATCTAGCTCAATAAAAAATGATACTGCAAAACCAGCCTCCACTTCCCTTCTCATCCCTGCAATCAGCAACAAATGTGATCTTTACGCCATTGAAGTGAAACATACTGAAAGTTTTATTGTTTGCAAATGTCTGTGGGCAGTGAGACTTTTAGGAAAAGTTCTTTCAAAGGCAGACAAAAGAACAGTTAAAACCGTGTGCTATCCTAACTGCAGCTTTTAAAAAGCAGTTCTAACAACTTAGGTGAAAAACAGTAGCAGGATGAACAAATGAAACGATTCATGTACAAAAATAGTATTATTACTAAAAAAAAAAGAAGAAAAAAGTGGTACAGAATTTCAAAAACACTTTAGAACAGAATAGTTACATGCAACAGAAAATGTTTTATTATGGTTCAGTCTATGCACAAAATTTAAACAAATATTTGAAAACAAGCAATGTTACAATGAAACAGATTGTAAGATCGGGGCGTGGGGGTCTGTGCTATAGCAACAATGGCTTTAAAAGAAGCAACTCAATGAATCTAAGCATAACTTATTTCCATGATGATTAATGTTTTGGTTAGTACTTAGCTCTCAGAAGTATGTGGTGTCTATATTTATCATCTGGAAAGTATTCAATACCAACTTGATAATTGTTTTTTTCCCCCCCAGAAAAGGAAGGGGGAAAATGCAAGCTTAGAAAATTTTAACCAATGTACAGAACCTTTACCAAGTTTACATCCATATAAAATACAGATTGTACCTATTGAGGATGCATACGCTTTTGGTACTTTAATAGCAATTAATTTTGAAACACACTTGCTCCAAACTTTAAAAAAAAAAAAAGTTTGTAATGGAAAACATCACCTAGTAGGTTAGATGGCAAAGCATTAATCAACCGTAAAATTAAGCTGGTGCTAAAATAACTTTCGACTGGTCTCACTTGATTGTATTAGCTTTATATTTGAATCTATATACATATATTAAACAGAACAAAAATATGCCTATTTCATGTTCAAATGTGATCAAATAATGTTAGTTTGATGTTTTACTTGAGGCCAATACGTATCTAGCCGAAAAATAAAAACACCCGTGAGATTTGGTGTTTGCTGAAGACAACGCTCATTTTGAAAATACCACTCATCACACTTCAGCAAATGCTTAAAAATGAAAAGCATGATTTCTCCAAAGTGCTAAGATCCATCAATCCCATTAAGGGCAATGGGAACAATGGGAGCCCAATACCTTTGGTGGGTGGGAAGGTGAAGCAGGGGGGTAGAAATCAAACCACAACTTTTTACTAAGCTAGAGGAAAAAACCCAGATGTGATTCCAATAAGCATAGGACAGATAATTCAAACCTACGCACTCTTTCACACTAGTGCCTACCATCATTTCCATTTTTTGAAAACTTATTCTAAAAACAAGCAAAACTGTGAATGCTTTCTTTAAGAAAATGAACCATCTTTCACTCCCTCTCTGTTCAGAATGATGCTTACACTAATATTGCTTTTCACAGGTCACTGGCAAGAGAACTGCCACGAAAAACTCAATTTGATATTACTGATGTGTAGGGGATAATAAAAACCATGATAAAAGCACAGAGGTAGGAGACTTCAAGGAACTAAACCTGAGTTACATTGTTTCTAGATATCTAGCAAAAAAGTCTCCTAACACATTGTGAAAACCTTTTTCAGCTGGAGTATAGACACCACTGCATTATCTCTAGTTATCTACTTGAAGATGTTTGTCCTTATTTCTTTATGGGAGTAACCTGTCAGTGCTACTAGGTAAACATGGTGCAACGAAATGAAGCAATTCATAGTGTATAAATACAATCTGGAGCATTTCAGTATCATTTACTTTAACAACACAAGTAAGCACATATATAAGTTATCTATGATTCACCTTGAATGAATAAAGAGTAAGTAAAACATCCTCAAAAGATTTTTAAAAAAAGGAGAAATCTGTCATCTTCGGATTCTACCAAAGTGCATTCTGGAACGCAGCAAAAGCTGCCTCTTTTTTTGGCTCCCACTTCTGTAGCACAGACGGTATCTCATAAAATAAAAAAATAATAACCTGCCTTAGATTTCTGCTTCATTTAGAAAGTTTACCCCTCCCCTCAGGAGAGAATGGTAATACACAATAAAACTGGACTTATGATATGAATAGGTTAAAAAAAAAAGAAAAGAAAAAAACGTTGAACCCAAAGTGGCCTCCCCCTTGCCAAAATACAGCTTTGTGAACATTCATCAATATTAGATACTTCAAAAAACCTTAGGCAGGTATCCTAGGTAAATTAGCTTCCAAAGGAAACTGTGAATGTTAACATATTTAATAGTATTGACTGAACTTCATTAATGTATTATGAAAAGGAAGTGACAATGTATTTTATGTACTGGATCAACCAGTACCTTTTAAATTAATAATTTAAAATGCAAATGATTGCTAATGAACATGTCAAACATGCTATTTCAAATAACTGAGAAGGACTAGACAACTGATACAGGATTGCTTTAAAAAAAAAAAAAAAAAAAAAAA